GAGAGGAACAATTCCCAAACTTAGTGACAACTGTTCAGCAACTTAGGACAGGGTGGACAAGTGCGTGGCACTGTGTGTCCCCCTCCCATCCAGGGCCCATCACAGGCATTACTAATCCATCACGGCATGCTTTCTCACTCAGCCCCATTTTTCAGCATAACAAGTCATTACCAATTGGTCCCCCAGTTCTGTGTGAGTGGAAACCTCCCATGTCCCATAAAATAGTGCTGACCCCTGCCACTAATGCAAGTTTGTTGAGAAGGGAAAGCTCCCTGGAGGAGACAGGGATGAACAGAGAGAGCAGGTTCTAGGTATGTGGACCAGGCTCCAGTGCCAAAGATTTTGGCACCATCCGGAGGAGTAGGCAGGTGGCAGAAGTGAAGCAGGTGGGGGAGGAATTTTGCACAGATGGACTGTGAGGTCATAACAATGGATCCCAGGGCAGAGGCCATCTGTTTGTCTGTCTGCCCTCTGTTCCAGTTTTATGCGTTCTTGGCTAATGTGAGCAGCTGGTGTCTGGCCAGGTATGTGCTGCCATCAGAAAGATAGGCTGGACTCTACAGGTGCTAGTGACGGGGATCCCAGCAGGAGGCAAGGCCCTCCAGAGGAGACCCTCCTCTCTAAGATCTGCTCAGCCTGCAGAGCCACCAGGCCAGAGCCAAGGCCTAGGCGGGGAGGAGAGATTCTTTGCCATGATGTCAGTGTCTCTTAACTACCCATTGGCAGATTCCCTTCAACACCACCTGTCAGGCCCAGAGGCCCTCAAGGGTTGGAATAAAGTCTAAAGATGCAGATTGACAGGACCAGGCCTTCCTTCAGACTTGAGCTTGATGGAGGACCTCTGCTCCTAGCGTGGTCACTGGAAAGAGTTCTACGGGAAGTAAAGGAGGTCTTTGCTTCAAGGCTTCTCGGAGCCTGAGGTATGCTCAGACACACGAGGCTATGTAAAGTGAGGTCAGAGCATGCACCATCTCCTGAACGTAGCCACTTATGGAAACCTTTGTCTGGGAGATTTCTATCAGTATCCCATGGGCCTGGTGTCCCATTGAACCCAATTCCGACACGCCTCCCACAGTTTTCCGTGTTTTCCACCACAGCTCTGTTGCCCAGGCCCTCCTGCACTGCCTGCACGGTCCTGCCTCCACGCGCTTGCCAGGACCTGTGCCTGCTCTGGAAATTCCCTTTTTTGACCCTCTACCTCTCCATATTCTGTCCATCGTTAGTCCCATCCACTCCACAGTGTGATGGAACCACCAGCTGTTTCGTCTCCTCAAATAGACTGTAGCTGGCATGTGTTACTCCTGTGTTCTCTGCAGCGTAGCCCTGGCTGGGCGGGTGGCACCTCGGGAGCCCTCAGCTGATCAGTTCAGGCCATGGCAAGTGTGCAGACTGACTGTACCCGTGGGCAGGTGTGAGAGGCCCACCTCCTGGCTATCTCTCCCCTCTGATCCCCATGCGCAGTTCATCAGGGGTAAAGCACACACACTCCTGCGTGGGGGAAGACATTTCTCCACCTCTGGAACTTTGTTCCTTTCTTCTACTGCTTCATATGCCGGGAGCATGGCCAAGAGGGAAGGGAACCCCCTGATCTACCGACATGTTCTCTTCCTCTGCAGGGGAACAGGGGCATTTTCTCATTTAATTATTAATGTCCTAAATCGGATGGTGCTCGGTACGTTAACCTCTGTCACTCCGAATGGAGTCGGCCTAATAATCGCTGTGGCAGGATTGATTTTCCCTCAGTCAGCGCGTAAGCATGGATGTCTTTGAGATCCATCCTCTGAGGGCCCAGGGAAGCCCTGGTAAAGTTAATGGTCATGAGTTGCCTCCATGTGGGAGCATCTCCGTTGTGTCTGCCCTTCACTCTGCCTCAGTGACATGTCTTTTTCTGAAATAAATTCCCGAAAGGAATTGACTAGTTCAGCTTAGGACCTAACCCCACCACCAAGGTGCTCACAGACACGTTGGAAAGATCAAGTAAACATGCGAGGAAGACGGCATGCAAGATGGGGAGTGGTGACTGCTGGCCAGGCAGGCTCTAGGCTGCCCGAGTGAGATGCGCCTGGCACCCAGGAGGTGCCAAGCCCTGCAGGGGGAGGAAGGGCCTTGGGGCCTGAGCTGGACCTCCTGTGGATGGTATGTGGATGTGCCGAGTCAAGGAAGAAGGGGATTGAGCCCGGAGAGCAGAGGGAACAAGGTTGGGCATGGGGGATGGTGGTGGAGGAAGAGCAGGAAGGAAGACTAGCCTGACCCAGGGAGAGGGCTGGTGATAAGATTGTAGATGAGGCCAGGTTCAAAGGAAAAGTCTCAGCGAGTATCTGAGAGGAATAATCTTTTCTACCCCAGCCTGGGTGCCCTCCTCCCCCACAATCTCTCTCATCCTCGCCACAGTACTACAGAGGCGGACTTGGCCTCAGAGGGGGAACTTTGCAAACGTTGAGGATGGGACTGTTCAAGGCGAGAGTGTGAAGCCTGGGAGCCCCTGCCCTGCGAGCCTTAACTCATGTAGACTGTTGGTCTGAATGCCACCTACTGTGTGTCCTTGTGTGGCCCTGTCCATCTCCACTTCCTGTGTGCTCATCCAAACACCCATCACCCTCCCTGTGCCCCAGCGTCCAGGAATCACACTGCCAGTGGGAGTCAGCTAAATGTCCTGTCCAGACCTGACTCTGAAAGGAAAAGATTTTTATGAAGATTTAAAAAAATATATATATTTTATTGATTTTTTACAGAGAGGAAGGGAGAGATAGAGAGCTAGAAATGTCGATGAGAGAGAAACATCGACCAGCTGCCTCTTGCACACCCCTTACCGGGGATGTGCCCACAACCAATGTACATGCCCTTGACCGGAATTGAACCCGGGACCTTTCAGTCCACAGACTGACGCTCTACCACTGAGCCAAACTGGCTTCGGCAGTTTTTATGAAGATTTAGAAAGATCTTGTCAGTTACAGCAATGATCCAAGTTACCCCCATCTCCCACCGCTTTGCTGTCACCATGGATCAAAGGGGCCAGAGGAACAATCTCCTCTTGTCCAGCTGGCCTCGTCCTCTGTTGTTCTAAGTTTCATAAGTTTAAGATGGAGTTGGGAGATCTTTTCAGGAGAATGCTGGCACTCCAGGAGCAGCCACAGTAAGGCGACGGGGCCACAGAGAGAACCAAGAAAAGGCGTCCTCTGCAGTGGCATTCCGGCTCCTTGCCTTTCAGAGTGCGGTGACCCTTTGTTCATTTTTAAATTTGATTTCTTTGGTGTCTGATCAGCCCAAACGCCACCTGGCAGACGATGCTCCTCACTCTGCTCAGGGCTTCACCCTGCGCAGGCTCTCCCTCAGGAGGTATCTCCCCTCTTTGAGGAGAAAGGGCTGAAATAACCTGCAGACTCCAGCTTGTGAAGGGCGAGCTGCGGAGGTGGGATTGTGTCTCTGAGGACCAGGATGGGGGGTGGGGGGCCATCGGTGTGGCTGTGGCTTGCCCACTTCCGGACTCTGCATATTGAGCAGAAACACCAGGATCCCTTTTCTCTCTCCTCACCAATTTTCAGAGTCCATTTAGCCAGATTATTTCCAGATCTCAAATGGAGAGGGAAACCTCATGAATCATTCATGTGGACCCCCGTGGCGTTACAGAATTGGTGACATTTGTTTATCTTTGGAGGAGCTGGTAAGAAAGAGTTGAACAAGGGCATCTTGGGGATGGGGAGGAGAGCGGCTAACCTTTCAGGAAGACAGTTGCTCCATTTAGCTTTCCTATGTGTACAAGATGGGGCGTGTGCAGCATCCATGCCTCTCTTCTCTGTCCCCAAGGAGGGGGATGCTTTCTCATCTGTAAGCTCAACCTCCTTTCAAGCTGGGGATCCCTTTCCAATGTCAACATATTTTTAATACCATCTCTGTCCCCCAGTTGATAGAAATTGCTTTTTTTTTTTTTTTAATGTATCTGGTTGAGAAGAAAAGCTACTCTGAATTCAGTAAAGCTTCTAATCAAATCATGACAGCATCTGTGTATACATGAAAAATGGTGCCATCCTTCTGAGTCATGGTGTCCCTTTAGTCTACAGCCGATGTATGAGCACATAGGGATTCCAGGTCCCCCGACGTGGCTCTGGAGCCCCCTGAACCCCCACTCGGTGGGAACCCTTAGGAAGTTCTCAGGGGTCATTTCAGACACTCCCACCTCAATGGTTCTCCGTGAGGAGTCCTTTGTTGGGGACAAGGGGGTTGGCATTCTTTGGAGGCACACTTAACGCCTGTGACAGGCTGTCCCTTCAGGGGTCTGGATCGAGCTCAACAAACTGCTTCCTGGAAGCCCCCTCCCAAGCTGCCCAAACCCTTCATCCCACAGTGAGAACCACGTGCTGTAACTTGTGTCACTCTGGCTGCCGCGGCTTTATATCCTGTAGGAGCAGAGAAGCAAGACGTGGCTCTGGGTGGCTGGCTTGACCAGAGCTGCCTGGAAGCTCCCCCAGGGCCACACCAGCCACCTTTTTTCTCTTTCTTCGTGGCAGGGGGCGGGGCGTAGGGAGAGGAAGTGAGTGGGCAAAGAACATCAAAGATGAGGGCGAAGGGGACAGAGGGAGGGCGTTGCCTGTAAAGTAGTTAAATCGCGGCTCTTGGTCCAAGATTGGGCTCATGGGCTTGAGCAACACCCTGAAATCGTGGCCAAACGTGTGGGGGCGTTTTTCTGGGGAGAAGGTCTCTAACTGTCAAAGCAGTCCGTAGTCCGAAGCCCTCTCAGATGCCCTGTCTTGGGATTTTGACTTTTCCCTCAGTCAGGCTTCCAACTCCTTGGTTACTCAGAACCCATGAAGTGTTACTGCATTAGTCAAAGACTGCAGATGTAAAAATATCAGTGCTCATCACGCACCAATGATGGGAAACTTCGTCTGCGTAGCCGGTCTGCTTAGCCGCTTCATGCGAGAAGTCTCAGCGCCAAACAGATGCCCGGGAACGCGGGCTGGTTAATGACGCCACCTCCTCTGCTCTCCCGCACAGGGCCCGGGATGGCGCGCTCCGTGGCAGGGCTCCTTGTCTTCTCCCTCCTGCAAACCATCCTCTCTCTGAACCCCGAGGACCCCAACGTGTGCAGCCACTGGGAGAGGTAAGGCATGGGTCTCAGAGGGCCAGGCACGCACCTGAGCTTTGCACTGTTGGGTACAGAAGCTGTCCACTGAGGGCCTACAGCCCAGCTAAGAGAGATAGCACAGAGATAGGACAAAGCAGGACAGATTCTGTCTGAGTCTCGCTGTGATGGGAGGTCAGAGTGCAAGGGGTTGAGTGACAGGCCATTTAAGGGATGCAGTCTCATGTTCCTCCCTGCATTCCCACTTCCCAGTCATTTTACAGAAGTAGAGGCTCAGTGCCCATTCACAGCCAGGTGGGTGCAGTGAGTTGTTCTGGTCCAGGTATGTTGTTTTCAATGCTATAAAGTCCTTCCTGGTCTCCCAGGCCTGGCAACAGTGCAGCAGCGTGGACATGTGGGTGGTCAGCAGCCTGGCCTGAGGAGATGGGGGGACGGGAACGGTGGAGGGCTGCTCAGGGAAAGGCAGTTGAGGGCAGAGGCAGAAGAGCTGGCTGCGGCATGAGGTCCTCGGGGAGTAGGCCAGGTCCTGCAGACGGTCTGACTTTGAAGCACAAGGTTAACGTATTGATTTTGGTGAGCAGAGGACAGTGACCAGAGACCCAATCAGGAAAAACGAAATTAAACCCTGGAATTGATTAGCCATGCTGACCAGGATGACTCTGCCACTTAGATGTTAATAAATCAAATGAATACAATTAAGACGAGGGCCCGATGGGGGAAGCAGATGGGGGAGGAGGGAAGGTGAGGGGTGGTCCATGCTCCATGCCCATGAGGGTGAATGTCCCATCTCACGGCAGGGAAAGTGCCGCACCCAGGGCTCTGGAAGGACAGTGCCTGCACCAGCATGGTGCTTGGTGACTGGCTCTCTACGGGGAGTCCCCACGGAGTCAGGCTGGAGCAGAAGGCAGAGTGCCCCTTTTCAGTGATGTGGGAAGAACACGAGATCGATGACCAGTAGACCCTGGTTCATTCCAGTCTGGAGTTTCCCAACTGTTAGTTCTATGATCTTGGGCATGTCTCCAAGCCACTCTGAGCCTACACACCTCTGTAAGGTGGAAGCGGGGAGAATGAACCTCAGGCTTGTTGGAGGGTCAGGGAAGCAGTTTCACAAAAGTGCTTTGAGGAACAAAAAGCTCAAGTGTTGCCTTTTCTTGTTGACAACACTGTCTTTGCGGGATGGTTATCACAGATTTTATGCACATGAGGCTCCCTGGGAATGTGAATGAGGCACGGAGCCTCCTGAGACTCCGATTCCATTGGTTTGGGATAGAACCTAGGCATATGTATCTCTCATAAGGTTTCCACGTGATCGTGAGGTGATTCAGGCCCCTTGGCCTCCTGGTTATGGTGAATTTAAACCTTTATTTCCTAGTAGGTGAGAAGGCGATCAGGTGGAATTCCCTGTTAGTCTCTGGTTTATGAACTCTAATCTCATCAGCCCTGACTTGTCCACCCGTCCCCATTGCGACAGTTGATTCCTGCCCGTGTCTGTGCTGTATCCCAGCCCCCGCATACCTCCTTCCCTGCTCACCGCGGCCTTCCCTGCTGCCTCCAACGAGGTCTCTCTCCTGTAGGAAGCCCACCCTGACTTCCCTCTGGTCTGGGTCCCATTTGCACCAGTGGACCAGTTCAAACTTAAACCAAACTCCCTAAGTTTCTAAACCTGCCCAACACGAATAAGTTCAGAATATTCTGAGCCCAGCCTCCTGCACAGAGCTGGCATTTCAGGTTTACAAGGCTGTCAGCTGAATCTACAGCTTCGGTGGGAGAACGAAGAGCAACCCTAATGGCTAAAATGAGGTCTGAGGACCTCTGGTCATCTTTAACCCCCTTGAAGTGTTGCCCTGTGATACCAAGTGCCTCCTTTTTCTTGGCTTTTCCAACTGAGCTCTTCTGCCAGTGACACACGGATGGATCTAGTCTGTGTCATTCCAGAAACACACCCGGCCCCCAGACACCGGTTGGGGAGAATTTCCCAGTTGGATTAGTGCTTCTGGCGGGCTCCTCGTTAATTATACACCTCCACCATAAAACCCAGCGGAAAGACCTCCCCAGGCTAGTAAAGCCCAGCTCTACAAGATTAATCTGGCCCCTCATTAGCATGTTGGCAAATGAGCATGTTAAACCATCCAGCCATGAAACCGGGGGCACACACTTCACCCCAGAGTCTTGGAGTTGGTTCAAGGTCTCGTTGACAGACTTGCTTGGCTCAGGGCAGTCTTGCAGAGCCAGCTGTCCCTCATGATCCCCTCCCAGCCCCCTCTGTCGGGCTGATGCCTTTTCTCTGAGCACCCACTGTCCCCAATGCTGGGGGGGGGGGTGGGTATCTGAACCCTTGGGTGCTTAACAAAGGCAGGGAGGCCATTCTGTGGGTGGGGCTGGCTCTGGCTCCCCCACATGGTCCCAGGAAATATTCCTCCCAGGAAATATTCCTCAGTGCTTGGCATAGAAGGTGAACTATTGCCAGTCTTATATTAATGATGGCTAACATATTAGACACTGTGCATTTTACATTTATTATCTTCCTACCACCCTGAGATATAGATACTGTTATTGCCCTCTTCAATCCTCACAGCAGCTACATGAAGTCCCTGGGACTTCAGGTTTCCAGGTGAGGAAAGGGAGGCTTCTAGGACTCTTCCATGTCTGAGGACATCCTGCTAACAAGAGACAGGTTTCAATCTTGACCCGGAGCCCATGCCCTCTCATCCACTCATTCTCCCTCCTCTCAGTGAGGTGTCCGAGCACAGGGTCATGGGATTTCAGGGTGGACGGGCCTTTGGGAAGCTAGGGGTGGGTGTGGAGCTGCCTCAGTTTCTCCCAGCCTGGAGATAACACAGGGCTTTGGGCCATGTCTGCATAGAGATGTGCCTCTGAGGCTTGGCTTGCTGGGCCCTCTTACATCCTCAGAAGAACAAGATGTCCCACCACCCCACTCCCTCCCGGACAGGGCTGACTGCTCTGGCCTCTTGCTGAGTTCTAGATCTTTCACACTTCTGGCGACGGAGAGCCTGCTGTGGACCGAGTCAGGGAGCTGGTCTGCCCAGTCCCCTTGCAAGGAAACCAACAGTTTCCTCAGGCAGAGCAGACAGGCTTTTATAGCCTGGACCTGGCCATCTGGCCCAGGTCAACGAGCCTTCTGAGAGGAAAACACTGAATAGCACCAACACACATAAAAATGAATTCTGAAATCTCCGCCGACGTCCCCTCCCAGCCTGCACAGGAGGTGTGCGTCTGAGCTTTATGTTCTGGCCTCGCTGCCTTTTCATATACCTCTTGCCAGGGTGGGCGGGAGGGAAGGCTTGTTTTTGTGAAGTTGAGACCTGCTTCCCTGTGGCTTCCACCCATGGGTCCATTTTTATAACTAACAGGCAGGAAAATGAGATGCCGCTTTGATAATGCAGAAGGTAACTGATAACTTTGGGGATGTCACTCGTCCCTCTGATGCTCAGTTTTGTCAGCTGTGAAATGGGATATTGCAATGCCACCTACCTTATAAGATTGTATGAGGATTAAAAGAATTTAAAACACTCAATGCAGGGCAGTTAATACATATTGACAGTTACTGCTACCAGCTGTGTGACCTGGGCAAGTCTCTCTGAGCCTTAGTTTCTTCATCTATAAAATGGGACCACTTACTTCACAGAGTTACTACAAAAATTAACTTCCATGCAGGTGTTTTGAAAACCACAAAGATCTAAACACGTGTATTTTTTTTTTTAAAATATTTTTTATTGATTTCAGAGAGGAAGGGAGAGGGAGATAGAAACATCAATATCGAGTGAATCTTTGACCGGCTGCTTCCTGCACACCCCACCCTGGGGATTGAGCCTGCAACCTGGGCATGTATCCTGACTGGGAACCAAACCATGACCTCCTGGTTGATAGGTCAACATTCAACCAGTGAGCCACACTGGCTGGGCTAAATACATATTTTAAAACTGTTGGCTCTGCTTTCCAAAACCACATAGAATAAACCTAAACCCACCTTTATTCTTCCTCTGTTAAATTGAACAAATGAACGAGAATTTCAGGAAATGAGCTGGGCCAACGGCAGTAAGGCATGCGTCCTAGATCCAACCAGGCACCAGGTAGGTATGGATGCCAAGGGTACCCAGGGCAGAAGGAGGATAGTGGGGCTGGAGAGAGGGGGTGTTGGAGCCCCTGGACACTTGGCTGAGGCCTGGCTTCCCTGGGGAGGGAGGCCCCATCCTGGATATCAGCTCCGACTCCCAAGTGCTGACTGTGGCTTCCATCTCCTGTCTGGTTCTCAGCTACGCCGTGACTGTCCAAGAATCATACGCACACCCCTTTGACCAGATCTACTACACACGATGCACAGACATCCTCAACTGGTTCAAGTGCACCAGGCACAGGTGAGTACCCCTCTCAGTTGGCGGGGCAGGGAAAGGGTGCTGGGCCCTTTCTGCCAGTTAGTAAAAGGCCTCTGTGACAGGTGTGGTCAGGGCATCACCCGTATCCCCTTGGAATTCACTTCTTACATAACTCCAGAGATGCTCTGTGGCGGGCTTCTTTCTGGCCAGAGGAGCTATGGGCAGGTCAGGCTAGAAGCACCTGAGAACTAATGCCCTTGGGGCATTCCTCAACCAATAACGGGTAGGAAGTTGGTGGGTAAATACCCCATCTTCCTTCCCCTGAGAACAGAGGGGACAAGTCTGAGTGTATTCCAGAGGTGCTTGGTCACCCATAACAGTAACCTGCTCAATAGCACGCCCTACATTGGCTGCCTGTATTTCCCTGTCTCACTTTCCCATCCCCTCCTAGTGCTTTCTAGGGTCACTTCCTAAATAAAGGACTTGTCCTTGAATCCTTGTCTCCAGGTCTGCTTTTGGGGGGGGAAATCCAACCTAGAACCCCCCCTCCCCACCCCCTCAGAGCAGATGAAGTCCCAAGCCTTGGCGAACAGAGTGCAGGCTAGAAGTCAGCACCTCAGCATCTCAACCACTGCCTGTGGGAAGCCTGCTTCCTTGCCTCAGCCCTCCTGCAAATCATGACATGGTCCCATGTCAGAGGCAAAGGGGGGTGGGGTGGGGAGGAAGAGAGAACAGTTTTTGTTGGATGACCCTGGGAAAGCCATGGTGAATGATCCTTGCCTTACCCGCCTGCAGGGTCCAGGGAGGCCGGGATCTGAAAATACTTTGAAAAGTGCAGGGGAGAATGGAGAACAGTGAGGTATTAGACCCAAGGTGGCATTACTCCTTCAGGGTTGAAAAAAACAGCAGATGAAGAGCAAACGAGGGAATGAATGAGTGAGAGACCACCTAGAAGGTTCACTTCCTAGTTGCTGAGCATCTGTGTTGGTTCCAGATTTCCTTGCTTCCTCCTTGTGGGCCTATTCCCTCTTTTTTTTTTTTTTTTTTTAAATATATTTTATTGATTTTTTTACAGAGAGGAAGAGAGAAAGAGAGAGGAATAGAGAGTTAGAAACATCGATGAGAGAGAATCATTGATCAGTTGCCTCCTGCACACCCCCCACGGGGATGTGCCTACAACCAAGGCACATGCCCCCGACCGGAATCGAACCCAGGACCCTTCAGTCCGCAGGCTGACGCTCTGTCCACTGAGCCAAACCGGTTTTGGCCCTATTCCCTCTTTGGGATTTATGCAGGAATCATGGTGATTGGAGAAACCTACCTTATGCTGAAAAGCCGAAGTCCTGGCTTTTGGGGTTTTCTAGCAACTTCCTGTGAGACACTGAGCATGGATATAATAACCACTTTAAAATCCTGCCGAAACCAGTTTGGCTCAGTGGATAGAGCGTCAGCCTGTGGACTGAAAGGTCCCAGGTTCAATTCCGGGCAAGGGCATGTACCTTGGTTGCGGGCACATCCCCAGTAGGGGGTGTGCAAGAGGCAGCTGATCGATGATTCTCTCTCATCGATGTTTCTAACTCTCTATCCTTCTCTCTTCCTGTCTGTGAAAAATCAATAAAATATATTTAAAAAAAAAATAAAATCCTTGCCTGCTAATCCAACAACTGAGTCATCTCAAGATTGGTCTCCATTGAGTGCCTTTTCTCTTATGTAGGTACTACTTTTCTAGTTTCCTTATATGTCCACTAATTTTTCATTGTATGCTGAGTATTATGAACAGCAGAGACAGTAGAGACTGAATTATGTTATGTTCCTTTAGAGCAAGGGTGAGGAACCTTTTTTCTGCCAAGGGCCATTTGGATATTTATAACCGTATTCATGGGCCATGCAGAATTGTCAGCTTGAAAATTACGTTGCTGTGAGGACAGCAGGGCCAGACCAAATGGGCGCCCCCGCGGGCCGGGCGTTTTCCACTCCTGCTCTGGGGAGTATCCGTTTATTGTTGCTTGCTTGCTCGTTTGTTTTATCAGCCAGTTAACCTGCTAAGCTCAGTTTCCTAACTGAGAGTTCACTAGTTTTAGCCTTACCTGGGCTGCTGGTTACCTGCTCTCCACACACATAGTTTCAGGGGACAGAAGTGTGGGCAGATTTTTACCAAGAATATGGGCTTCCTCTTTGTGGCTCTTGTCTTTCTCGAGTTTCCCTTTTCCCTTTCTAGTTGCTGAGTCCACCCTATATTTATCCTGTGGTTCTTCAAGCCAGTAAGGCTGCGTGTCTTCTATCTAAATTTTAGCCACCTGGAGTTTTTCTTTAAAAAAAAATTTTTTTTTTTTTTACAGAAAAGAAGAGAGAGGGATAGAGAGTTAGAAACATCGATGAGAGAGAATCATTGATCAGCTACCTCTTGCACACCCCTTACTGGGGATGTGCCCTCAACAAAGGTACATTCCCTTGACTGGAATCAAACCTGGAACCCCTCAGTCCACAGGCCGACACTCTATCCACTGAGCCATACTGGTTTTGGCCAGCCACCCGGAGTTTTTCTTGCTGACTAACCTTGCCCGGGGTCATTCCCTTCTTCTTAGTGTCTACTTCCCTCTCGTATCCATCTTTGTTCTCTCTCTAGTGCCTTCAGGTAGTTGCTTTTTCCTACTTTCCCCAGATTGTATAACTGTTTGCAGGAGGGTTGGTCTAACAGGAATTACTCAGCCATTACTCCATCCCCTTCCTCCAGCCCTTGGCTATGAAATGAGGAGGTGGGACCCAGTGCCTCCTCCCAACTCCCCCAGTTGTGCCAAGTTAGCTGCCTGTGGACCTGGTCAAGGCAGAGGTGGAAATAGAAGTCCTGTTCCCTCCCTGAGCCACTGGTCAGGCTCTGAACCAGCCAAGTTTGCTCTGAGGGTGGCTTTGCTGGGTACTTGGAGACCCGGGCTGCCGTTCATCACCGCTGGGGAAGGGTGAGTGAGTGGCTGCTTATTAAAATAGGCTGCATTCCTGGAACACGAATTATTTTGCTAAATTATTGAGTCGCCTTGCAGCTTTCCTGACGACTCAGAGTGTGATGCTGACAGCGGCACCATTAGTCTGCCTCTGCGCGGAGTGCCTTGTTTGAATGAACACAGCATCCTCCTCCCGACAGCAGCCTGGCCCGGCCCTTCCCGCTCCTGTTTCTACCCAGCACTGGGAGCAAGCGGGGATGGGCAAGCCAGCAGCAGTGGGAGCATCTGTCTCCTGAGAGGCTGTCGTGATGTCAAGACCACCTTTCCGCTGGAGGGTTTGGAGGGAGGAATGGACTGGTGACCTCTGAGTCAACCCCAGTTGCTCTTTACCTGAGAGGCTTACACTGCCCCCGAAATTGCCAGGAGCTGCCTTCCTGTGCTGGGAATGGGAACGTAGCTTCACTTTGAGATCAGCTTACTTTCCATTAGGTGTTTTTGACAAAGTAGAATGACCTTAGTTTACGACATTCCCAAATATCACAGATTTCCCCAGAGTCCCACATTGTCATTTGTCATAAAGCGAAAGCTTTAAGGACTGGGAGCCCGTGTGGTAGGACTCCCTTCCCAAGTTGGCCTGAGCCTCCGTGGAAAGCAGACTGTCGGCATCTGCGACGACCAGCCCCTGCTCTCTGCCCCCTGAGGAAGGGTCCACGGGGCATGCACCCCCGGTGCTGGCGGGGCAGTGAGAGAGCTCTGGTTTCCAGGCCTGAGGACCTAGGATTGCGTCCTAGTTACATGACATGACCTTGGGAACTTGCTTTCTCTTTCTGGTCCTTCATGGCCCCTTCAGATCTCCTCCGTTATGACTCTATGTGAGCTTTGCCTCTTAATATCCCATTGACTGTCCCTAGGACTCTGTTCTCACAGCATTCATTGTCCTTTTCCTATTCTTTCGCTATGGCCATCCCATAATCCCAGAAAGCCACCCTGTGGGAACTGGCACAGTAGGGTAAGCTAGTAGCTTTGAAATTAGACTGATTCAGATTTTGAATCCTGGCTCTAAAATTGTTGAGCTGTGTGACCTCAAGCAAGTCAACTTCTCTGAATCTCAGTCTTCTCATCCATAAAACAAAGTGGGAAGGGGTACATAAAATTGATTAAGAACAAAAACCCTAAAAAAGAAATGAAATAAAGGGCATAATGAAGCTACCTGCCTCAAGGAGGGAATAGAAGGAGATTCTGCCTGCACATCTCTCTGGCACAGGGTGATGTGTCAATGCCCATGCCAGCAGAAGGACTGAACCCAGATCCCTGATTCCCAGTCCAGAATGCCCTTTGCTGTCTGGGCCTACGGCTTCCCTCCGTATGTAGCTTTGTTCTCTGCAGAGCCAGGCTTGGTTCTGGGCCTTCCCAGGGATGGCATGCAAAGCCCTTCCCAGGAGGTGTTCATGTTGGTGTGAGGGAGATTAACTCACCTCTGGGTCTGAGTCAGACTCAGAGGGTCCTTGTGATGACTGTGCTTCAGTTCTCCAAGCGAGTGGACCAATTTCCAGGGGGCCATCAGCATCTGCTTGTTGGGGTGCTGGCAGTAGGCATAGGAACTCTCAGAATCCCAGTCCCATCTGAGTCACCCTCTGGGCCCCCCCAGCACTGGGTCTTGCAGTTTTAAGGAAAAGTCCCCAGTTGCCCTCCACAATGTCACTCAGACAGCATCCCCTGCAGCCCTTCTAAGTACCACTCTGAAGAGAGTGGGGCACAGTCAGTGGGTGGAACGAACACCGTTTCATTCTGTGTTACAATGGCCCAAACCCCGCCATCGATTGTTCTTTATTGTGTTCCTTCATATTCGAAGCCACCATGCATTTTAAAGTGATTATTGAATGACATCCTCAATAGAGCTCAACACAAATATCATCCTAGCAGGAGTCATTGATTTCCAATATTTTCAAGTGGCTTTCTCCCCTGTGCCTTAGGATCAGCTATAAGACGGCGTATCGGCGTGGCCTCCGGACCATGTACCGGCGGAGGTCCCAGTGCTGCCCTGGCTACTACGAGAACGGAGACTTCTGCATACGTATGTAGGGGCTGCCTCTGCTCTGGCCTCGGTGGGGGTGGGAGGGAAGTGGGGGGCGGTGCCCAGGGGAAGAGAGGTAGAGCTGACTTTTGGGTCCTTGGCTGAAGGTCTCAGCTGACCTCAGAACTCCTGCCTGCTGCCAGCTTGGAGGGAACAATGGGTCAAATGCAAGTGCATTAGCACAGAATTGTCTATCAGATCAACCTCCTAAGAGGGTTGATAGAAGCTAGAGTCAGGTCTAGGATCTGAAGGGTCAGGAGAGAAATGGACATTTCTGGAGTGGGCGCTCTGGGGCGCAGTGGGAAAGATGTGCTGAGTGCTTAGCCCGTAGCTGAGGGCATAGTACGTGCTCAAGAAGGCTTTGTTGGATGGAAGGGAAGCTGAGTGGATAACTGAATGAATGGAGAGATGGATGATGGATAGATGATGGTTGGATGGATGGATGGGAGGAAGGAGGGCAGGCTTGATTATTGGATGATAAAACCATAGTACCTCGAAGGAGGATGGCACGAGTAAGACATCACAAGGGACCTATGCCAGGAAGTGGGAAGGTTTCCAAAAAGAATTGGACTACACCAAAGAAAATGTTGGTTCATGAAAGACACTCGTTTCCTCTTTCCCTTTTTGTCTGCAGTGGCTCAGTAAACTGAAGCCTTAGTCTCCAGGAGGACCAGGGCTGAGTTGCTGGCAGCTGCAGGCCCTCTGAGTGGGGGGCAGTGTGGTACAGTGGAGACATCCAGGAGTAATAGCCTGCAGGTCAGGGTTTTGGCCTCAGCTTCCCAGGCACGTGGCTTTGGGCAAGTCACTGACCCTCTCTGGAAGGATGGCTTAGGGCCCTGCTGGAGTGTAATGGACTCTCGCCACTCACCTCTGACCCGTGGGTTGGGATCAGTGTGGGGCTTCCCAGTGGGCATTAGATTTCCTCAACGGCAGGACCCTGTCAGAGAAGCTGTAATTACCGAGGGGAGGCCGCCCACACAGCTTCTGCCTCTGCGTTTGGAGGCAGATTTGAAGAGTGATTTTCCTTGTTGGTATTCTCCTTGCCATCTGGGTGGGTCGAGCGAGCTAGCACAAGAGAGAGAATTTGGGCAGAGTGGGCGTGTTGATGTTGGGAATGAAACGACAATTTTCCCCTACTGTTGTTACATCTCCCCTAATGCTGGAGAGACTCGATTCTAATTGCATTAAAGGAATGAATGAAAAATGCTCCCGCAAATGGGGTCAATGCTGATAGGTTTGCAGGAAAAACACAAGGTACTTACTCAACGCAAACTCAAAAAGCAGTGCAGAGGACTGGGCTGGGCCAAGGCCTTGGGCAGTGCTTCACCTGGAGGGGGTTACCATGGGGACCCAGGTGTAGAAGTGAGGTCAGAATCAAGGCTTTACTGCTGCCGCTCTGTTTGCCTGGAGTGGAGTGAGGGTCAGGCTGGCGGTGGGACACGGGAGCCATGAAGATGGAGCAGGATGGATGTGAGCAGCCCTTCTGAGCTCAGGGTGCAAGTGATGGACTCAGGGAAATTATAAATGGAGTCCGGATGTCTGCACGGGGCCCCAGGAATGGATGACCACCTTCCCCTTCTAATTTCCATTAGTGGGTGCTGGTCAAGCTCTTGTAAAGGAAGAGCAGGGCAGGAGCGCTGTGTCCTGATTGCGCAGGCTCCGTCTTCCTGCCTGCTCCTTATGTAACTGCCGGGCTGCGGCCACGGACCCGTCCTCCCAGGAAGCCACGCTCCTCGGGACGGGAGGCTTTTCCTAGGAGGGAGCAGGAGGGTTTTGGGAGTGAGATGGGGCATTGTGGCGTGCTGAGGCTGGGAGTGGTGACAGAGAGGGGCAAGAGGCACACAGGCCTGGGTTGAATCTCAGCTCTGCCCCTCCCAGCGTCTTCCTCTTTACCCTCCTCACCGTCCTCTGCAGAGTCCCAGCCCCATGCCAGGCACCATTCTGACCACTTTGCATCCATCAACACGTCACCTCCACTCAACAGCCTCTGAGGTAGGGACCCTTCTTCCAATTTACAGATTGGGAAACTGAGTCGCAGAGCAATTCAGTAACTTGGCCAAGATCACCCCTCTCTAGCTGTGCGATTTTGGACTGTACATGCAAACGCGCTGTAACTGAGCTGGAAAGCAGTGACTGGAATTTGAACCCAGGCTATCTACTATAATAGTTCCAGAGTCTGCTCTGAACCACTTGGAATAGGCAAGACATCCCCTCTCTGAACCTCAGTTTCCACTTGTGTAAAATGGGGATAGGGATACCTAAATATTTCATCAGGCACAGGATGGGGGCTTCATGTCAGCTTCCTCTTCTGCAGAGATGATTGTTTTAACATTTTTTAAGTCTTGGCTCTTATTTTAGTTTCTCAGAGATCCATGGACTCTCTCTCTGGGGAAATGAATACTACATATGTAAACCTACACATGCACATGGCCCTTTGCACACCATTTCAGGGGTTCGTGGATCCTTTAAAACGCTTACAGGGTCTTTGGACCCATGGTCAGAAGTTTTGACCACAGGCTCATATTTACCCATTCAACTTACACTTGTTGCAAATGCAGGGATTCTGCACGCATGTGAGTGGTGGATGCTGTCTGGAGGAGCTTGCAGCCTGCTGGAAGGAAAAGGTCTGGTACAAAAATATGTGCAACCGAGTGTTGTAGCTGCTTTGACAGGCATCTTTATAGAGTAGGGCGGGATAAAGGGGAGAGGCTGTCTTTTTTGCCACAACCACTCACCGAGTGTTACTGAGAAATCAGCCTCAGGGAAGGGGGCTGCCTGGGAAGGATGTTGTAGCCCAGTAGCTCTTAAATGCCTGCTGTGGCCACCCACAGCGCTGTGTTGCCAGACAGAAATGTCAGAAACAGCCCCTGCCCTCGTGGATCCTACAGTCTTGCTGGGAAGGCAAGTCTAACGTACACGAAGTCATGAGAAATCAGCCGGAGAGGAATGTGAGAAGGGCTAGACAGGCCGGACAAACTGGGACAGGAGAGAATGCTGTGACCTGCGATTCCTCGCGGGGCATCATGGGGTTTGAGTTGGAGGGAAGGGCATTGTTGGAGTGGATGGGAGATGGAATCCCATCAGCAAGATTCGGAGTGGGCCTGAGCAGGGTGGGTAGATATGGGCTGGGAGAAAGGGAGAGGAGGCTGGCAGGTTATTCATTCCCTAGGGTTGCTCTTATAAAGCACCACAGCCTGGCGGCTTCACCAGCAGGTGTTTGTTGTCTCACAGCTCTGGAGGCTAAAGCCTGAGATCCAGGTGCCAGCAGGGGGGTTCCTTCTGAGGGTTGTGACAGATCTGATCCAGGCCTCTCTCTGGCTTCTGGTAGTTCCATAGCCTGTGGCAACATAACCATTCTCCACATGGAGTCCTCCCCCTGTGGGTGTCAGCCCCCCAACTTCCCCTTTTTATAAGGACACAGTCTTTTGGATTAGGGCTCAGCTTAATGACCTCGTTTTAACTTGATTATCTATCTCTGAGACCTATCTCCAAATAAGGTCTCGTTCTGTGGTTCTGGGGTTAGCTAGGAATTCCACATGTGAATTTAAGGAGGACACAATTCAACTCATAATGGGTGGGTATCAGTCCTCCACAGGCTTTGTCACCTGAGTGTGAGAGAATGAAGTCGGAGGATTGGGGAACTCGTGAGTGGGAGAAATGGCAGTGAGAGGGTGAAAGATTGTGCCCAGGATGCTGGTCCTGGATGAGAAGCTTGTAGACCTGGGAGCATTCAGGAGTCAAAATCCTGCAGACCTGCCCTTCCCCTCCCCCTCCCACCTCCCAGAGGCCGGAGGACTCCAGGTTCAGCAGAACCTGGTGAGAATTCATCCATTATTGAGAGTCTTCAGGACCCTGCACAGGAACATCGCCTGAGCTCTGGGAAGGGGCCCGGGGACATTGAACTTCCTCCAAAGCCACCTTCCTGGAGCCTTGTTTCTCGTCATGTGGTAGAAAGACATTGGCCTGGGAGTGGAAGCCTTGGCTGACTGCCAGTAACTTGCTGTGCAATCTTGGGCAAGTCCCTTTGCCTCTCTGGTCCCACTGGATATAGGATGGACCATCTCTGTGTATGGAAGGAGAAAGATGAAACAGTGAATGAGTGTCCTGGAAAGCAGATACAGATGCAGGTGACATTATTTTTCTAGTTGTACCATTTCCTCTGGCCCAGAACTGCCATCCTCAGCAACCTTTCTGCAACCATCCACACCACAGCTGCCCACACCCGACCATTATCCACAGATAAGCCTAGTCTTGTTCCTTCTTGGTTGCCCAGGCATCAGATGCTTCTTGAGGATCCCTGGGCACAAACACATTTTCTTCTTTCTTTCTCCTTGTGAAATAGGGCAGTGGATATCTTTACCTCTGTAGATAGAACTCATTTTAAGTCATGGGGTGGGGGTTTGAGGCATTTTGTGACGCTCTGTACTTTGAAAATATTAGCCTGGCTGGGCTGGGTTATGCTGCAGTAACAAACAACACCCCAAAGCCAGTGGCTTAAAACAATAAATTTTGTTGTTATTGTTCATATTAAATGTCCATTGTGGGCTACCAATGGCCTGCTCCTTGTCACCTTCACCCTAGGACCCAGGCTGATGGAGCAGCAACCCTGCAGTGTTGCTTGTTGCCATGGCAGAGAGAAGAGCACTGTGGCAGGTGTTGAAGGCAGAGGGCCAGAGTCATTAGTGAGCAGTAGTAACACTTGCCACAGGTTCCACACAGATGCCACAGTAATCACAAATTGCAATCTATTCAATGGTCTTACTGAGCACCTGGTAAGCTAATATCAGAATCATCAGGAAGACTTGTTACAACACAGACTCTTGGGCCCCAGCCTCAGAGTCTCCATTCCGAAGGTTTGGGGGAGGTGGGGGTGGAGAATTTGCATTTCTAACTAGGCCCCAGGGGGATGCTCATGTGTCTGGTCTGGGAACCACACTTGGAAAACCACGATGGGGTTACCATGGGATGGGGTAACAACATCTGACCTTCTGTAACTCCTG